CCAAGTAAGAGTCAAACAAGCATTTCATGCAGTGAGATTGGTCTTAGGCTGTCCTAGTCTGCCCCTGATTGTAATCAGGGCAGGGGAGGGTTGCAATCTGCAGAGGTACATTGGGTTCTGTGACTGTCAGTGTATCTTACTGTGCCTTGCTCCATTAAGGGAAGTACCTTGGGAATGTGCTTGCTGTCTCGTGGGTCATCAGGCAAAGAAGCCCTGTCCCATAGTCTTTACTGTGCATTGTCATGACTTAAGGCATGCAGCTTTGAGGAGTTTTTTCCTCAGTATGCTGAACTAACAATTACATGATAAGAGCTTAATTTACATGCATCCTCCCTACATTTCTCTGAGTGTTCAGTGGGTAGTTGCCAAGTAACTGAGAATGTGTCTAGACACAGACATTTCTATATTCAACCACAAGGTCAATTTTCTGAGCTACGAAGTCAAGTGCATGTAACCCCTGCAACAGAACGCACAGAATAAAGACAAGATAAAATGTTCAGATCTAAGAAAGGGCTATTGCACTTTGCTATCTATAGGGACTTTGTTCACCAAAATAACTCACTCGTGCCTTCCTCAAAATAAACCTCCAATTAATAAGAAAACTTTGCAAAGGAAAATGTTAACAGCAGGCCAGCAATTTATTTTTTTCCTTTACCTGGGAAATGAAAGAGTTGCCTCAGTCAAATCCCCTTGCTTTTATGCTAATAATCAGACCTCCTGGTAAAAACGCTAATGGTATTTATAAGTAAAAAGATAATAGAGAGCTCTTATCTGTGAAATGCTTTCAGCAACTGTTCCAGTTTTCTGTTGCTACACAAGATATCACCCCAAAACTTAATGCCTCAAAACAATATTATTATCTTTCACCTTTCAGTGGGTTGCCATGGCGCAGCTGGGTGACTTTTGCTTGGAACTTCTCCTGTGATTTTAATCAGATAGTACTGCAGTTGCAGACAAGGCTAGCTGGACTTCAAGGTGGCTCACCATGCTGCCAGTTGATGAGACTGGGAGCTCAGCTTGGGCTACCTACCTATTTGGGGCCTCTTCATATGACTTTGGTTATCACAGCTTGACTCCTGGGGTCCGAGAGGGAAAGTCCTGAGAGAATGTTCTAACAAACCCAGGTGGACTTAGACTCTGAAGTCCCAGAATGTCTCTTTGGTTCCATTGTATTGCCCAAGGGCAATGCAGACTCAAAGGGAGAGGAAATAGACTCCACCTCTTAACAGAGCAGTAAAATAGTCACATTGCAAAAGAGCAGGTAGGTTGGGAGATGTCAGTGAGGGCTTCTTTAAATAACGCAATCTGACACAGCAAGATATGCCTAGTTTGTCTAGTTGCCTCCTGTAAATAAACCTGGTATTTATGGATCGGTGGGGGCATGATGAGATTGTTACATAACCTAGGAAATCAGTGGGGTTTAATAGTTCTGCATGCGTTGTTTAAATCTCTCATGTTAAATCTAAAGCAGCACATGTTCTAATGCAGGCTGGAGAGGACATTTCTTAGTTATATTGGTCATGTAGGGCAGGAGTCAGCAAATATCTTGATAAAAGGCCAGATAATATGCATCTTAGGCTTTGCAGGACATATGGTCTCTGTCATAGCTACTTAACTCTGTCGTTGTAGCACAAGAGCACCCATGGACCATACATAAACAAATTGGTGTGGCTGTGTCCCTGTGAAACTCTCATTACAAAAATGGGTGCAGGCTGGATTTGGACAGTGGGCTATAATTTGCCAACCCCTGATCCCTGATCTCTCCAAAGAAAGAACGCTTAGCCTGTGGCTTGCTGGTGAATCATTAGTAAATGTGATAGTAGGTAATATCTATAAACTCTGTCAAGTCCGATTTAATAATTTGACTCACATGGTCCATTATAGAGCCTCTTTAATATCTATCACAATGTTTGTACATAATATGGACACTTAGTATCTGTAAATCAGCCAGTAAACAAATATTAATTGAATTCCAATTGTTAGCACAGCATTATATGCTGAGGTTCAGGATTTCCTAATTCAATTGTATCTATACTAATTGCTCTTAGCTACATGAGAATGGCAAATGACAGAGCATATATTTTTCATTGTTAAAGCAGAAATTCGTCTTAAACCTTACTTCGTTATTGACAAGAAATCCAAATTTATTATGGGCTATTTAGAGGTCATAGAGTATATCTAGACTACTTTTAAAACATTTTTAACACAAAAGAAAAATAAGCCTCCTAGGAAATAGTCTCCATTAAAAGTTTTCTTTTTTCTATAGCAGAATTTCTTCAATTGGAGGCCACTGCTATAATATCTTCCCAAATTTAAGCTTGAGAGCCAAGAAAAAGAGGATAAACTGGGACATGAGGTAGATCGTCAACAACAGATTATTGCATAGTCAACAAACTTTTTTTTTAAACCTTTCAAAACACTGGTGTATAAAATAAATATTTCGACTCTTTCTTCCTTTGGGAGCTTTGAGTTAATAGCAGTGATTTTCTAAAGGGGTTAACAGACGGCAGTATTTTTTGGTATGACTCTTGGGGGTCGAAAAGACAGCAACTGTAAGGAAAGAAAAAAAGGAGAAACTTGTGTAAACAGAATATGTGAGCTCATAGTCTTTTGATTTTGGGGAGTGAAGAAAGGTTCACAATAGAAAGTTACAGAGAAGAACTTGTAGTTGTGACAGATACAATAAGCAATACGAAAACTATAGACATATTTTTAGCTCTGATAAAAATAAACTGTTTCTGGGGCTGGCCCAGTGGCATAGTGGTTAGGTTCTCAGGCTCTGTTTGCCAGCTTGGGTTCGCGGGTTTAGATCCCAGATGAGGACATACACACTGCTCATCAAGTCACATTGTGGCGGTGTCCCATATACAGGGTGGAGGAAGACTGGCAGAGATTGTTAGCTCAGGGACAATCCTCCTCAAGCAAAATGAGGAAGATTGACAACAGATGTTAGCTCAGAACCAATCTTCCTCACCAATAAATAAATAAATAAATAAATAAATAAATAAACCATTTCTCAAGATAGTGAAATTTTAATTTAAATATGGACTCAGAATGTTCCTCTGTGTTATTTTCAACAGAACTTCCTATATTGTATTTTAGATAGAGACATTCTTAAAGAAAGTTGTGATCATATTTTAAAAGTATACAACAGAAAATATTGGAAAATATTTTTTTCCAGTGGTAGAAAAGAGAATTATGCCCAGCAAAACTCAAAAATCAACAAAAATCACCACAGAAAACATTTCATTAGTTGTTCCACCTTTAAAACTCATGTTGTGGTGACATGCTGATTCCCAAAGGGAAGAACACAGGAGCATTATATTTTATAAATCAATGGCTCATTGCTATTTGTCCCTATTTTAGTAAACAAGATATCCAAGCCAATGTGCAAACTCACTCCTGTCCTCTCCCCATGAAAGCATGATACAAAAATCCCAGGGCAGGCCCAGATGCAAGGGAAGGAGATAAGGACAAGACAGGAAAGAAGATCTAAAAAAAAAAGACAGAGATTCTTTAACTTCTTGAATTGTGCATCAAAGCACAGATGGAAGGCTTTCTGTAAGAATTAATACCGTGATAGGATTCTCAGTGGGATTATTGTTTGAAATTTGCATGTTTCCTATTTTCCCACATGAATTGAAATTCCTCGAAGCAAACTTGCTAGGGGGTAGAAGTAGACCGCATGCCTTTGCGTTCTGCCCCTCCTTCGGCATTTTGGTACCAAGGCTTAAGTTCCATCTTTATTATCAAATGTAACATTATGTAAAATTTACTTGATACAAGTTTTGTTGAGCCAACTAGAGATAGTCAGATGATCTTTGTGGATATATTGGAGAGAGAGTGGAGAGCAGCATTAAGTACTAAAAAGAAAAATAATGTCTTAGTGGAGGAGTTACTGAGAACTCAGGTGTCCAGAATGGTGATAGATCTTAATCACAATTTGAAAATGTAGAAAATACTCACAAGGCAGTATGTGTTTATGTAGCCTTTGAAAATAACAATAAAGACATCTTTAATTGCCTCTGCAACCCAAGGACAGCCTGTGATGAGTGGAGATGCGTGTCCTGCATAGAGTTCTAGCAGACAGGACTTTATCCTTTGTTGTGCTTGACTTTGTGGGGTGAGTTCAGTGTAAGAGGGTTTTACTGCACCACGGTTAATGGTGTAGTTTTCCAAAGTGCACAAAGTAGTTAAATACTGTCTCAATTTGTCTTTCCAACCAACCTATTATAGAGCAACTTGTAGATCTTTATAAGATGTTTTCTGTCATGCTCTGCTTGTCCCAACTTTTCCTGTGCTCCCAGCATCACCACGGCAGGAAGCTCGATGATCCATTCTGCTTAATGGCACATTGTCTTCTCTATTTCAAGTGCATCTTTTCTTCATCTTCCCTCTCCCAAACACAACTCCTTTTGCTAGGCCTTACATACAGTATTTTGCACCTTACTTCTCATCTCATTCTAACCCTTAGGAGACTCTAGCAACTTTTTCCTGAAAAAAATTTTAGCACCTTTTGTTTTGTTTTTAGGTCTTATGTATCTTCACCATGATTCTGCTGGAATTCGTGAACTGTGTTACTAGCCCCAGCTTGACAGGGCATTCCCTAATAAAGATAATGCCTAAACATCAGGTTATCAGTTTGTATGTCAATCCATTTCCACTCAAAGTTTTGACAGTGATGCCTAAATAGACTCTAAATCTTCCAGTTGAACACCGAGTACTAAATGCCTCTAACTGAGTGTTTTTGCCCAAAATATCTCCTGTCCTGAAAAGCCTACTATTTACTTGCTTTCTGGTGAAAATGCTATAATATTTCCCAAACTTTTCCACATGGTAGCTTCCAAAAAGAAAGTCCATGATCAGCAATCATTTTAATACTTCTTAATTTCATAAGTTATTTATTTAATAACTAAGTAGATTAACTAGAATTCCTCACTTCCTAATATTAATATGGTTTTGCTCCACAATTTCATATTGATTTCCTTTTTCCTTTGCAGAAGGAGATTGGAAGGTGACTGTTATCACTGGGGATCTTGAAGATGCCGGCACCACGGCAACAGTATCCCTTTCTGTCTATGGAGAAACAAGATGTTCAGGTCCTATTATTTTGGGATCTGGGAAACACCAACTGTTTAACTCCAACAGTGCAGATATATTCAAGGTAAAATGGATAGGTTGTAACTTTCTTACTAAGATAATTAAAATATACATTCCATAATATGAAAGAGAATGTTTTTTGTTGGTTGGTTTGTTTTGGTATTGCATTTGCATTACATTTTCCTAATAAATGTGAAATCTTCTATCCTAAGGGAGTTGAGAAACAGGAGTAATAACAGGAATGTAAGATTTCGTTTATTGCCCACTTTTTACTTGTATAAAGGCAATAAAGTATATGAACTTAAGGCAGTTTAAAATTACCGTGGAAAAATTTACTTCTAATCCTGACATCAAATCAAATATTTCCATATTTGAATGTGTTTTCTAATCCTTGTCCATATCCATGGAGTATGATGCTATGATGGAAAGGTGGTGCAGCCTACTGGCTACGACGTGGTCTGAGGAGTCAGATGGCCAGGATTCAAATGCTGACTTTGCCACTTACCAGCATCGTGCCCTGGACAAGTTACTTAGCCTCTCTGTGCTCAATAACCCATACCTTAACAGGTTATCATGAGGATTAAATGAATTAACCCATGTCAAGTGTTTAGTGCAGTGCCCGAAATGCTCAATAAATGTTTGCTATTAATATTGTTTTACATAAACAATTTTATAGCCTCATTTATATAAGGAGCTACATAGTCTCAATTATAATTTTTATTGATTACATATTGAGTATATGAAATTCACCATTTCATATACTATAGGTAAAATGAAACACTTTGCTACTGTTGGACATTTAAATGGCTTCTAGGTTTTTGCTATTATAAATAATGCTGCAATGAACATATTTTTGACCTTAGTTTCTTCTTTTTTCTAACCAAAGCTATCTTATTTCCTTATGAAAAATTCTGAGAAATGGGATTACTCTTGATTCATTCTGAGAAAGTACTTTGTAAAAGTTTCTAATTTACAGCACAGTGCTTGGAAGGACATAGTAAGCAACTGGTAAATTTTAATTGTTATTAAATCATTACTACACACCCCAAATCATGGTATCTATTTCTGCCATACATAGTGCTTGTTGGGCATTTGTATATCTTCACTGGGGAAATGTCTATTCAAATTCTTTCCTCATTTTTAATTGGATTATTTATCTCTTTACTAATGAGTTTGAGTTCTTTATATATTCTGAATGTGAGTGTCTTATCACATATATGACTTATAAATGTTTTCTCCTCTTTTGTGGGTTGTCTTTTAACTTTCTTGATGCTATGGCTTTGAATTACTTCTGGTATCCTTTCAATTCAGCCTGAAGGATTCCCTTTAGTATTTCTTGTAGGGCAGTTCTGCTAATGATGAATTCTCTCAGTTTTTCCTTATCTGGGAATGTCTTAATTTGCATATATAATTCTTGGTTGACAATTTTTTTCAGCTCTTTGAAGATGTCAACCTACTGCTTTTTGGCCTTCATGATTTCTGATGAAAAGTCAGCTGTTAATTTTATTGAGGATCCCTTGTATGTAATGAGTTGTTTTCTTTTGCTGCTTTCAAGATTCTCTCCTAGCTTTTGGCTTTAAGTTATTTGACTATGTTGTGTCTGGATGTAGACTGTCTTCCCGTTGGTTTTATCATCTACCATAGTTACAAAGTTGCTGGTTTTTAAGGATATTGCAGAGAGAGAAATGGAAGTAGATCAAGTTACAATGCACAAACCATCCTATTCTTACCAGCATTTATACTCTTCTCTGAATAAGTGCTCCTCAGATTGTTCTACCTTGATTAATTTCCAGAGTTCTTGAAGATTTGATTTCAATAATTTTTGCCATTGCTTTTATGGAGGAGTAGATTTGTGGAGTGCTTCAATATGCCGTTCCAAGTCTTTCTCTACCCCTTTTTATTCATATTGTATTTTGTTCTGTTTTATTGAAATTTCTATTCCTCTTTGAAATCTTCTATTTGTGGCTATGATTTCTATAATCTGCTAAAGTTAAGTAAGAACTGGCCTAATGTAAATGTGACTTTGAGCCTACAATGTGTCAGGTGACCAAATCCATGAAATTTAAGAGTCACTGGCCAAGTGGTATTGAAACATTGACAATCTCATTACTGTCAGAACAGCAAAAATTTTCCTTTTGTATAACTGGTTGTTGTATTTGGCAGTGTGAATTGACTGTAATGTTCTCCTGACCCAGTCATAGGTCTTGAAGGGGAACTTGATTGTAGAATGGTGTAGAGAATAGAGAAGGATTCTAGCTTCAAAAAAGGGCTGCAAAATGGTGTCAGGCTTTGTAGTAATTTTGGTAGCTACCCTCCATAGACTATAGAGTCAGACCTCTAGGAGCACCTAAAATGTCACTGAGAACCAGGCTGAAGGAAATGAGATATCCTCGGAAAAATGACCAAGACAAAAATCAGAGCAAGAGTCCGTTGTAGCAGAAAGTTTGAAGAGAGTGGCAGAGAGGAGTTCCTAGACCACAGGGACTGGATCTCATTCAGTTGCTAACTATTGAATCTTATCCATTGACTGGCATAGACTAGACACTCATGAATATCTGTTGAAAGCATGAAAGTTTAACGAAAATGACTTTGCTGAAATTTGTTTAATATTTGCTGCTTTCTCTTGGGGCATTCACTGTTGAATTTCCCTTGTGATCATTCTCACCTTGAGGGTATCATAAAGGCATTCCATGTATCTTATGTGTTTATTATTTACTTATAAAGCCTCCTGGAGATTTAGCTGAGCTTCTTATTGTATTTCTCAAATTGGAACACTAAATACTATTCTCTGTTGCTTGGGAAAAGTTAGTGGCTAAGCCATTCACTCCTAGAAAGTAGTTTCCTGCTTCTTGTTTACTCTTGTATGAAGTCAATTAATTTTGTAGATGAATAGGTTTAATATTTATTGTGAGCTCATAGGGTACTTGCACAATCATTTGAATATCCTTTATGTTCCTGGAATAGGATGCATGGCACATTTTTGCCTTTTTAAAGACAATGTATATCAGTAGAATTTGAAGACCTATAGTTGAGTTCCATCTCTGACCTTTACTATCTAAGAAGATATGAAAAAACCACTTAACATTACTAAGCTTTAGTTTCCTCCCTTGTAATATGAGTATAATAATACCTTATAATGTTATTGTACAGATTGAAAGAGTTAAAAATTAAAACACTATATAAAGTATAAAACATTCTTGTCTTCATACTCCTGAGGCTGACTTTTACAATCCTGCCCACAAAATGGAGTAGCCTTCCTGATGGGGTGGGATTTAATATCATTTTCTAGATGAATGAGGGCAGAAAGGCAGCTTGGCAGATGGTTGATAGGTAGCTATTGCTGGCATGTAGGGTCTTTGTAAAAACATGTCTGGAGGCTGGAGTAGGAGAAAGGAACACAGGAAGCCAAGACTAGGCTGGCTGGGTTAGAGAAAGGCAGTGAGCACATAAGTAATATCAGGAACATTTATCTAGGGCCTTTTCAATGTTTAAAGGTTAGATGTCCATATGGGTCTACAAATTATTAACCATTAGCTAAATGAATGCCAGCATGTCATTTTGATTTTGGTGCAATTCTGTATGACTTCTTTTTTTAATATATATTTCCTTTCTTTTCTCTCTATCCTCCTTCTTTATCTTTTTCTTCTCCATTGATTGATTGATTGATTGACTTGAAACCTGGAGTTTGGTAATATTTCACACTGACTCCATTTGGCAGTTTAGGAATTGCAGCACTAAGTGATGCCATGTTGACACAATTGACTTGCCTGTGGATGTCAGATCCTAGGGACAGTTTAACTTGATCTTTTTCCTCAGTCACAAAAGTTGAAGTATTTTTCAATGACATCTACATTTGCATCACCAAATTTTCACACATGGATTCTTTCAAGAAAAGCCAGTAGAATTACTCTGCTTAAATATAGACTATGCTATAGAAACCAGAACCCTAATACAGAATAAATTACAGAAAGCAGATAACCACTTTTCAGAAGGACTAAATTTTCTCAGAAAGGCCAGATATTAAAACAAAAAGATTATTGACCTCAGATAGTAATCATTTCTAATTTATTGGAGTATAGCATGGCCTACTTCTGAAGAAGCCAAAACCTTTGTGGGGAGAAAAGAAAAAAAGTGTTTACTGATATCTACTCTAAGCTGGATGTTAGATACTTAGGAAAGCTGAAACATGAAAGCAAAAATGTCTTTCTCTAACCTCTCTCTCTTGATCTGGTGAAATGATGTCTATTTTTTTTCAAAGGCCAACATCTTTATTTGTAGTTTGATCACATCCTCTCTTATCTTTCAGGATTGTGTTCCCTTAGCCACCCTTATTCTTTCTCACAACCTCAGGATGATTCTTTTTAACCCTTGCCTTCAATCTACCAACATGTTTATGTCTTCCCCATTCTAAAAATGACCTTCATTTGCTCTTAAATTACTGACCATTCTCTTTCCCTTCTTTGAAAACTTTTAAAATACTAATTTACCCTGTTGTTTCACCTGTTTCTCTTCTCATTCTCTCCTAAATTTCTTGCAGTTTGGGATTTTCACCCATTACTCTATTTGAACCATGTTTCCTAGGATCAGCAGTGAAATCCTCATTATCCCATCAGCTGTTATTCAGGGTTGTTGGTGAAGTAACTTTTGGGCAAGTGGCTAGTGCAATGATAGATGTGGGTGCTGAAGTCAGATCTCCTAGGTTCAAATTCTAGCTTCTTGACCAGCTATGTGTTTGTGGGTAGTTATTTAAAATTTCGTGCTCTGAGCAGGGAGACATCATCCTTGCATACCCCCTTGACCTCACTATAGCTCAATGAGACTCTGGGAGAAAAGAGCTCCTCAAGAGCAGTGATATTTGAAACTATTACCCAGGAGACACCTCAAGATCTCCTTGTCTAGAGGCCAGCAGGGATTATGACTGTGGCCCCACAGGACTGGATATATTTGCATCCTTTAAAAGCTGCTGCCTGAGAGTCTGGCTTCCAGGCAGTCTGAATACTAGCCTAGGTACTAAACGCAATTCCTCTTCTTGGAGCACTGACAGATGTTTGTACACCCTCAACA